CTGTCCTATGGGCTCAAGATTAATTCTTGTAGCCAGTGTTATATGTTGACTTCACTTTTGTTACAGTTTATCTGTCTTTATGACATATACTGTGGTAACATCTACTGTGCTTTACTTTTAATTTTCTATATATTGCAGTTTATGATTTTTTTAAAGTGTATTTTATGTTAGTGGTAGATAACAGTAAACTCCTCCAGACTAAATATTTATAATTGTAAATTTTGTGGGGATTTTGTAATAATTTGTTATGCAGAATTGTAGTTAATAATAGAAATTAGCAAACACATTTTGTACCTAGCAACGGCAAGGTAATAGAAACTATTTATTAACAAACCACAGACCTAAAAGCCACTATCTTTTCCAGAAGTCAAAACTCTCATTAAGAGAAAATCAGAAACAGATTGGAAAACCAATACTGGTTATAACTACGAAAAAGATTTTCTGAAACATTTGAGCAGAACAGACCAAGTCACAGTTTTTCGCTTACGTACTGGACACTGCAGACTCAATAAACACTTATATAAATTATGTACGAGCCAAACAGCTCTCTGCCAGGGTCTTCGTGCTGAACAGACTCCAGAACATGTCTTGCAAGACTGTCCTCTTTTGGCAGAACTGCGGAGCAACATATGGCAACACCCAGTAGAACTGACAACTAATCTTTGGGGAAACCTAAGAGACCTTGCAAAGACATCCCAGTTTATGGCCCACAGTGGATTATGCGCATGACCAGAGATCGCTGAAGAAGATGATGAAACTATTTTTGTGTTGTTTTGCAGCATACTTAATTTCACACTCATGTTTAGCCACATAACCGCTTACAGAATATGTCACCAAAATTTTTTTATTGAAATTAAACTTCAAATTCTTTACAATTTTGGTCGCATTTTGTTGTCTTCTTGTTCTGTGTTCAGTCTTTAACAGGGAGGTTGTCTTGAAGTGGTCGACAACATGTCTTTCCATCCAATCATGTTTCAGAATTAATTAGTTGCCTTTTATGTCATGCTTTCTAAGGGTCAATAGGTTTTTAGAGTGTCTTTGTGAGATATTTCTTCCCTATTAAAAGACAGTTTTAACAAAAATGAGGGAAAAGTTAAAGGCAAGTGAGCAAGAGGCACATATTGATACAAATGGGAGGATACTATCAGAGATAAAAAAGCAGCGGTGACATAAAATTCATCCAAGGTAAGAGACAATGTGTTGGAGATCTATTGCTGTCAACCTTCCCTGTGAAGATGACACCTGAGTGATTATGTCACATATGCAGTGTTTTACAAAACTCCTATTAATACTTCCTGTTCCACATTGGCCTTGTCATATGTGTTAATCAATCTGTTTTTTTGTGTGTATTGATTAAAAAAATGGTTGAAACACTAAATTTTAATTGTGCTTATCCCTTTCTTTATCTCTTCTGGGGTTTCTAGAAACTTTGTTTTGCAGTAAGTTACTATTGTAAACTCCTTGACACAGTAAACTTCACCAAATGTTTTCTTTGAAAGCTGCTCATTTGACAAGCCTTGAACATAATTACACAGAAACCTGCTGTCCTGTGGGGTTGAGATTCATTCTTGTAGCGAGTGTTAAACTTGACTTTACTTTTGAGGGGCGGAACTGATGCATATCGTGTTTACTACATGTGTCCCTGCAACTTGGCACCTGAAAATGCTGAACATGTACTCCAGCACTGTAGACTGTACTGATAACAAAGAGGCCATCTGGCCTGCAAACAAAACAACACTTTGTCTTCTGGCTTGTTGTGCAAACAGGGCTAGACCCATATTTTATCAAGAAATCAGCACTTGGTGGGTGATGTGATCATCATCATCATCATGCCAGCCTCTTTTACTTCCAGGACTTTAGCTGGTAACCATTTAAGACTGGGTTGACCTGAGAGTCAATGTTATTTTCGAAAAAAAAAAAAAAAAAAAGTCAGGTTCCGTCAGAACCTGAACCTACGACTTTCCGATCAATGTAAGTCAACTGGACATACATTTAAACTGACAAATACAATTAGATTTGCTGTACAAGGGACACTATCTCTTCAACAGACAAAGTTGGGATGGCACTGGTCTTGCACCTCAACACTGTGTTCAGCCATTAGGTCATATTTAGGGCCGGGCTATATTGCGGCCCCTGGCAAGAGCCAGGGTGGGGCTTCAAAATAACGAAAAATGGCATCCCACAAGGGGATGACCAGATATGACCACAACAAGAAGTGCCAAATACCATTCTGAGGACGGACACAGAAGAAGAATGCCTCGAAATTTATTGGGCATATGGTGCTATCCCATATTTATATATGTCAAATGGCATTTGAGTGTTGTCAGCTGTATAGTATATGTTTACAATCATACAGTATGCCTGTTTATTTGTCTGTATCACATCTGTCTATGTCATAATCCATCTGTTTAAGAGACCAGTTGTTTGTCCCACAATCTATGTGTCCAATATTATTAGTGTATAGTTTGTCTGTAAATCTGCGTGCCTGCTGTCTGCTTTTTAAATGATTGAATATAATGTCGGAAACAGGGAGGAGCGGCTGGCCGAGCGTTATGAACGATGGGCTTTCAAAACGGCTTTTGAAAATCTTTAATATCATTTTTAAATCTTAATGTTCAGATTTAGTTCTTTATAAATCAGATATACTTATTTATACTTGTTTCTATTGTCTACACCAGGGCTATTCAAATAAGTTTACTCAGGGGCCACAATTTAGAAAAATGAGGATCGTCACGAGCCAGATACCAGAGGTTCAGCAATGAAAGATCGTTAATAGAAATCAAAAAGACAATAATTCTTATGCCATTTGTTAGACCTCCGTGGGCCGCCAGTTAAATAACTCTGGTCTACACATAGACATTTATTGACATCAGGTGAATTCCACTGACAACACTTTAAAAAAGGATTGTTTTCAATTAATGAAAAAACAACATTTGTAATCCCTGGCAGAGCCGGATAAAAAAAAAGACTCTGGCTCCCAGGTCGACCCAGCCTTGAGTGAGTACCGGGTGCAGTCCCGAAGTAAAGGTGGCCGGCGTGATGCTGACTACATCACCCATCTTGTGCCGATGGGTCTATAAAATATAGGTCTAGCCCTATATGCCCTATACCCTAAAGGCGTGGAAAAGGCTCCTTTACTTTTTTTTTTTTACTTTTACTTATATAAGAATATAAAACAATTGCTTTTAAACATACATAGCAATACAACATGAGTCTTTTCAATAATTATATAATATAAATAGTTATTTTACAGTTCTTCACTTTTCGATACAAATTTCTAGTAAAAATATTCATCGGCTGCCAAATTTATTGTCAAAACAGTTTATTTATATGTATATAAATAAAAAAAAAATAAAAAAACCATTACAAACTAGTATATTAATACATGCAAAGAACATAATTCAGAACAAATGTAATATAGAAAATCTGACAAATGCTAAAGTTGTTTATATAGCAAAAATATTACTTGACTGATGGTGAAAACATTTTTATATGATATATTGTGATAGTCAAAATAAAAAGAACTAATATTGAAAGATGCACAGTAATATGCAGGATAATAAGTTTGTTTGCAAGAGCTGTTTGTGGACCAATTTTTCTTTAGTGTTAAATCTTGTAAAACATTAATGGCTCATTACAGTAAAAAAATCTGGCAAGTATTACAGCACTGCATGCTGGGTGATGCATGGACAAAAGCTGATATCGTCAATGCTGTATGGACTAGGCTTGTGTTTAATGATGAATCTCTGGCACTAAGACGATTACATGACCTTGGAGTGCAGCACTTCAGCGCAGTCTTTGAGGTCAAGATAGGAGACATAACCAATATCTCATATATGGAACAATCTATAGAGGTAACTTTGTGTGGCCGCTGCATTGGAGGACTGAGCAGGCACGGAAATGTCCAACGTGCACTGACGTTGATTGTAATAACATAATATAGAAAGAGATACATCCACTACTGCAGAAACCCGGGAAGATCTCATGAATCTACAGAGGCAACCCACGTCCTTCACAAGGAGGTTATGTCAGTGATAATTCCTTTTATTGCCTGCAAGCATCATAATGTTCTCCACTGCAAAAAGAAACAAACAAAAACAACAACAAAACAATCCTTGTTACACGTTACCATTAACCACCCTTGTCAGAAGTAATTCACATTTTATATATACAATTATAAAATCATAAATATCTCATCTTTGTTTTTGTTGCTGTTACTTATACATATTACTTATTCATAATGAATTTATCTTTAAAAAAGAGATTTAAAAAAATGTTTTCTAAATACAAGAGTCCTCCTCACACACTGCCACCAACCACACATCATACAACAGTCATGTTGTATGTAAACTTATAAAATTGTAAGTTGTGATTTATTAAATATATGTAAGAAAGAAGGGTTCTTCAATGACAAGGCAGATGTGGTCAAGGCCCTTTGCGAACAACCAACGGAATCAGTAGAGATAGAAGATTATTATGGCCTGGAGAGAATGAGGCATCTGGGTGTAACCAGAGGGTCTGGCCCGCTCACTACAATCAGAGGAAAGACAAGACGGACATATAACCAGATTGTGACCGGTACCATCAGCATTGGAGCTCTGCGTTGGCTGCTGAAGATGAGAACGGAGCATGCATGGCAATACCCCGAGTGCTGTCATGTCAATTCTGGACTCAACTCAACTCAAGCATAGAGTTCTCCATTTATTAAAAACTAGAGGATACTTATCAACACCTTTAGGTGTATTTGGGGCCAGGATGCTGTTTATGAGCCAATTCTCTGCTATGCCTAGACCATACAGGATGTGTTTTTCTTATTATTATTCACACTCATACTCCATCTGCCAACCTCAGTCAAAACAAAACTGTATGACAAACAGGGAGAACTGGATTGCACGATAACTGTCATCAAGGCTACTAGTCTCCTGATGTAAAGTTTTATGACAGAATGATCGGAGAAAAACAGATACTCTATGTTAACATCTCTAACTGCAGAGATGAGATTACAAGTGTGTCTGTTCCCAGGTGACTAGCCCAGCTTGCGAAGCCATGGAGAAGAAGATAGAATCTGATTTAGCCAGAAGATTCTTGGGAGAGTCAAACTCGGCAACACTTCCAGCGTCCAGCACTAGAATTCTGTAATAGTTAAGGAAAATGCCAATTTATTAACAGTGACAGCGGGCATACCAATAACTAATTCTAGTTAGTTGTGTATCCTTCAGAGCAGTGTTCTTCAACCTTTTTACACTCGCGGCCGACCAAAACTGAGGAAACAGCCTACACGGCCCATCTGACAGCTAATCAAAAACATAAACATAAACAAATGTTAGCCGTTAATTTGTTAAAACCGATGCCACAAAATTCCAGTTTTCAGCCAAAGCGATATTTGCTGCTGCCTAGGTGTCAGACAATCGGATATACCCTGTAGGCCGCATACAAGGTCTCACTCGCCATACCTGCGCGCGGACGTTCCCCCGGCTCTGGGGGGACGGCGTCCGCGCGGGAGCTCCTCCTCGAGGCCGCGAGGCTTAATGAGGTCGGTCCGCCGGCCTGCCCTCTGGTCTTCTCGCATGTTGTCCTCCTCTTATATATTGTTTCAATCATTACGTCCTTTTTAGGACGTAATTTTTTGTTATTTGAAGCCCCACTCTGGCTTTTGCCAGGGGCCGCAATATAGGCAGGTCATCATTATGGCCAAATGTCTGAACGCGGTTTCTGGGACCTCTCCACGGTGATCCTCATCCGCATGGTGGCACTTTGTGTCATCGGGTGTTTATCGCTTGTGTGATGTCCTGGTGGGGTAAAAAATCCAATCCAATCCAATCCAATGCAGCAGTGTAGTGCTGGAACCATACAACAGTTACATGATTAGGGAGACATTTTTAATGATCCGCAGCCCACTGTTTGAGGAACACTGCTTTAGTGGGCGTGGTAAACCAATCAGCATTTTCTGGTTGTTTATGGTTTAACTATGTAATTTTACGTTCAGTAGTTTACTATTATTTACGTATTCGCACCAGGAGAGACGACTAAATAGCTTTCACATGCGATGCCTAAGAAGAATACCTGGCATTAAGTCGAAGCACAAGATCACAAATGCTGAGGCATTGGAAACAGCAGGTTTTGCAAGTTTTCTCAATGCTCAGTCGACGAAGGCTCACGTGGCTGTGTCACACTTGGAGAATGGGGAAACAGCAGGTTTTGCATGTTTTCTCAATGCTCAGTCGACGAAGGCTCACGTGGCTGGGTCACACCTGGAGAATGGGGGAATAGCAGAGTCCCTAAGGACATCCTCTTTGGTGAATTATAGATGGGTATAAAAGTTGTCGAGGCCGATCTCTACTACGATAAAAAGATGTGTGCAAGTGGGACATGAGTAATACAGGTACTAAGTTGCACTTATAGGAACAAAATCAGTCCAACACTAGAACTGCAGTTCATCATCGATGGAAGCAGCAGTTACAACAGATCAGCAGTTGCACACGCAGTTAAGTGGCACCACTAGTTCTCTGGCAACAACTTATCATTTTCTGAATCTGCAGTTCACATTACAAACCATAGTTGGGCGCAGTCGAAAAGCATTCCAAATCAATCATGCAACTCACTGTGTCGCGCTGTGCGCTTATCAGCTGGGCTGATAGCCTGAGGTTGGACATCAGTAATTCTATGTAAATCTAACAGGAGAAATGTGCAGATACTCAGTTTAACCTTCCAAAATGATTTATATTGAGATACCATGACTACCTTGATGTGGCTCGCATTATACCATGTGTGAGTGAAGTACCGATTAGACTAGAAGATGAGAGAAAGAAAGAAACTGGCAAGGCTCCAGGGCGTGAATGCTTGAAATATAAAAGCCCCCCCCCCCCCCCCCTTTTCCACCTTTTACCATTTTTCCACCATCCGCCACCCATCCATGTTCCAGTGCTTTATTTTGAAGTAAAATATATTGGCTAAAAGACTCACTGTCCCTCTGAGAAGTATGTTGTAAAAGGCGTTTGCTTAAAACCCATGTGCTGAGCCGAAAGGCGCAGATATCATAACCTAACTGGCACAGTATATAATATGTCAGCTATCCCTTTAATGGTGAATAAAGGAAAAAAAATCTACCTGTCATAATCCAGGACAGTATTCAATCTGTGAGCAATTGTCAGGATGGTGCAGCCACTGAACTCAGTGCGGATTGTCTTCTGAATGAGATCATCAGTTTCCATGTCAACAGCTGCTGTAGCTTCATCCAGGACGAGAATTTTGGTCTTTCTTAACAAAGTCCTGGCCAAGCAGACAAGCTGTCTTTGTCCCATACTGTAACAATAAACAAAAACCCTGCCTGTTTGACTCTCACAGCATTATGGTTAATAA